GGGGGTGCATGTGGGCAGCCCCGGCCCCGGGGGCAGAGCCCCACCCCAGGCAGGCTGAGACCCCCGCTGAGGCTCCTACCGCGTGGCCTGGAGGCCGCCCGTGCCCCGGCAGAGCTGAGGGAGGCACTGCAGGGAGCTGCCCCAAAGCACAGGGCATGTGCACACATGGGCACACTCGCACAAGTGCACACCCATGCATGCAGATGTGCGCACCCACATGCAGGCATACATGTGCATTCACACACACACACACACACACACAGAGGCATGCGCATACATGCAGTACAGAAACACGTGCACACACACACACAGGGGTGTACACATACAGCTACATGCATGCAGATGCATTCCTGAACACCTACATACACCCCCCCCCCCCACATGCCTGCGCGCTGGCACCCCCCCCACACTCCTGCATACACATACACACATGCACATTCACACATGCACATACATACACACGCATGTATACACAGCCACATACACATATGCACACACAGGCATATGTGCAGGTGCACAGCCATGACACACTTGCACACGTGTGTACCCGCACGCAGGGCCCAAGCACCGCACACGGACACACACCCACCCCCACACGTGCTCCCGGCCGCCAACCAATCAGAGCAATGCAGAGCAAACGGGTACCCACAGCTCCTACCCACAGTGCCTCAGTGTGCTCCTGTTTCCCAGCATGCCCCGGGACCCTGCTGCTTTGCACCTCTTACCCACAATGCTATGGGGCACCGTGACTCTGCTCCCCAATGCCTCTGCATCCTCTGCTTCACACCTCCTACCCACAATGCTCTGGGCTCCACACGGCCTCAGCACTGCACGCCCATTACCCACGAGGCCTGGCCTATCTTCCCCTGCCCCGGTGCCACAAGGGGGGACGCCCACCCCTGCCAACGCCTTCCCAGGGTGCCGCGGGGCACATCCCCCCTGGCCCCGGCCCCGGCCCCGCGCCGGGGCGTTACCGGAGCGTCCGCAGTCGGCGCAGGAGATGAGGTCCTCGGGGCAGCCCGTTTTCTTCGAGCCGCCTAGCGGGCCGCGTAGACAGAAATCACAATAACCGTTTGGTATGACCGTGCCGTCCGGTGCTTTCTTAGCTGTAAAACAGCAAGGAGGAGCCCAGGTCAGAGGCCAGAGGTCAGGGCCAGGCTCAGGCCCCGCGCTGCCGCCGGCCCACCCAGGGACGCCGCGTCGTGGAGCAGCGCCGCTGCGGCACCCGGCGGATGCAACGGACGGCCAGGGGCGACTGTGGGGCCTCGCGGTGTCCAGGGACGGCCCCGGCGCTGCTCTGCTTTCTGCTCCCTGCCCTATCCAGTGCTCTGTTTTCTGCTTCCTGCCCTGGGCCCAGCCCCGCTCCCTGCCCTGGACTCCTGCTCCATCCCCTGCTCTGCTTATTGCTCCCTGCCCCATCCGTTCCTCTTTCACCCCCCTGCCCTGGGCTACCCACCCGCTCTGTTGATCTGCTTTCTGCTCCCCATCCTGCATTGTCTGCTGCTCTGCTTTCTACTCTTTGCCTGAGCCACTGCTCTGCTTTCTGCTCCCAGCTGCTCACTCCCGCCATGAGTATAACAAGCCGACGGGGGTCTCAGCAACCTCCTCCTCCTGCAGGCCCCTGATCTGCCCCTGGCCTGAGAGCCCTGTGAAGACCCACCCCCTCCCCGGCCCCGGCCCCGGCCCCCCAACCATGCCCCCCTGCCTGCCTGTCTGCCCTGAACTATACTTCTGCACTGTGCACTGCAGGCATGTGCCCAGGCCTGGACTCTCACCTGCAGCCCCTGAGGGCCATTGAGGGAGTCACACTGGTGTCATCCCTGACACCACACACCACATCCCAGGGGCATTACTAGTCACAGGATAAGACTGAAGACCTTGTTGCACTGTAGGGTGAGGCCAAGATCCAGAGATCATTTGCCTGGCGTGGGCACTCCAACGTGGACATCTGTGGGGACCTGCATGCAGAAGCATGGGTATGACCAGTCAGTGCTGCCTAAAAGTCAAGGCCCTGCAGGCACACTGGATCAGCATGAGTGACCACAGCCACTGATCGGGGGCTGCCTGCAGGACCATGCCCGTTATGTGACAATTGGACCACATTCTCATGCCCTGGGACCTTGGGTGGAGCTGCACTATGTTCTCCAGCACAGGCAGCTTGCCAGAGCCTCCACCACAGCCTGGCAACAACAATGAGACATCAGAGGAGGAGGGCCCCATGGGGCCCCAGGAGCCAATCCTGTTGTTGTCCCCACCCCTGACACCATCCAGCAGCTCCATAAGCCTGGGCCAGTGCCTTACCAGCTCTGGATGCACACCCAGCTCAGGAAACCAGTCCAGGGGTGGCACCTGCCACACGCTGGGTGCTCACACAGGTGCAGAAATGCACACATGTGCCCTGGCCCATGCATCTCACACACAAGCACATGTATGCACACACACACTGGCATGCAGGTGCATAGGCCTATGTGCACACATGCGCACACACACACACACACACACACACACACACGGGCCCCCCACACATAGGTGCACACACATGTACATGAAGATGCTGACTTATGCACACCCACATGTATGCACACGTGGGTACATGGATGTGGAAACGCATGCATGCCCACACGTGCATGGTGACATGGGCACATGGATGTGCATGAAAACACATGTATGCCCACATGTGCACCCAGTGACATCCACATGTGCACACAAACGTGCATGGAGATATACATGAACATCCACATGTGTATGCGCGCACGCGCACACACACACACACACACACACACACACACACACACACACACACACGCAGAGGCAGCTCCACATGCACACACAAATGTGCACAGGAACAAATATATACCCACACACACACACATGTCCACAGATGCACAGAGGCACATATGTATACCCATGAATACACACACACACACACAGGCACACATATGTGCACAGAAACATGCATTGCATGCCCACACATGCACGCACACATATACCCACATGTGCGCACACACACACACAGGCACACACAGCCACACCCATGTGAACAGAGACATACATGTATGCTTGTGCACACACACACACACACACCCCTCTACCCATACACAGAGGCACACCCAGGCTGTGCACGACGACACGCATGCATGCCCCCAGGAGCAGGCCCTGCTCACGCTTGTGGTTGTTCTTGCGGTGGAAGGGCAGCGCGTGGCGCTCGGGCGGCTCCTCGCCCTCCTCCTCGGCCAGGTGCGTGTGCGTGTAGTGGTAGCTCAGCCCCGGGCGGTTCTTGTAGCGCTTCCCGCAGACTGGGGGGGCGGACACACGGTCAGAGCCCCCGCCCGGACACCTGGGTTCGCTCTCCCCCAACTGGGACCTGTGGGGGCCCTGAGACCACGACCGCCCCCCACCCCCGATCCACGGCCAGGAGCTGGGGGACCCCTCCAGCTCCAGCCCTTTCCCCCAGACCCCTAGGTCCCCTGAGACTAGAGCCCGGGGGGCCCTGTAGCCCCAACCCCCTGCCCTGCCTGGACCCATGGGTCCCCTGAGCCTAGGGGTTGGGAGGGGGCTGTAGACCCAGCCCCCTCCTCCCCCCCCCCCAGACACCTGGGGTCCCCCAAGAGCAGGAGCTGGAGGTTGGGGGCCCCCGTCTGCCCCCTTGTCCGGACACCTGGGTCCCCTGAGGCGCGTAGCTGGGGCAGAGGGGGCTGAGCCCCCCGCCCTGCCCGGACACCCGCGTCGCACACTCACTATCGCAGACGTAGGGCTTGTCCCGGTCCTCCAGCGTGGCCGCATCCTGCCTCTTGCGCATGCCCCCGATCCCGTACGCCTGGGGGGGGGTGGGGGGGGCGCACGGAGAAGGAGGGAGGTCACAAATTTCCGGGGAGACTCCCCCACCTCCCTCTTTTCGCATGCCAGGCCGGACCCCAACCCCCTGTCCCAGGCCCTGGGGGTGGCAGGGACCCCCCCGACCTTGCCCTTGGCCTTGTTCTTCCTCCGCGGGAGGTCGTCGTCCAGCTCGTCGCCCTCCAGGTCGTGCGGGAACTCGCCCATCGGGGGCTTCTGCAATGGGGGAGGGGGTCGCTCTAGGGCACCTGCCCGGGGCAGGGGTCCCCGTGGGG